TCTGGGAAGGGAGTGCATGTGCCGTCATCCCCACTGCAAAGACGAGGCAATGTCAGTGCATGTAGTGCCTCCAAGTGACAGGGCCAGCAAAGGGTAGAATGGATGTTCGACACTCAGGCTTTTAAGTTCTATCTTCTTTCCACTGCACAAAGATAGTATTTTGCAGATGCCACATGAATAGAGCAGACAGTGTGTTATGAAGGCTCAGAGGCAAATGATTTTGTACAATTGAGTCATTAGCAGAGGCTCTGGGGCTGGGCACGGTGACTCACGCCTGTAATTCCAGCACTTTGGGAGGCCAAGGCGGGTGGATCACTTGAGATCAGGAGTTTGAGATCAGCCTGGACAACATGGTGAAGCCCTGTCTCTACTAAAAATGCAAAAATTAGACGGGCGTCGTGGCACGCACCTGTAGTCCCAGCTACTCAGGAAGCTGAGGCAGGAGAATTGCTTGAACTCAGGAGACAGAGGTTGCAGTGAGTCAAGATCGTGCCACTGCACTCCAGCCTCAGCAACAGAGTGAGACTCCGTCTCAGAAAAAAAAAAAAAAAATCCCAAAACTGAAAAAACAGAGGCTCCTGGAGAAGGTAAACTTGATCTGGTTCTGGAAGGTGAGTTGGGTGTAGGAGACTGTGAAGGAAGGACGGGGCATTGGGCGTTGGCTATGGGCTTGGCCTGTGAGGAGGCCGCAGGTGGGACATGGGGGTGGAGGTGCTTGCAGCAGGGCCCAGCCCAGCCTTGGGAGCTGTTGTTCCCACTGAATGGGATGAATCCTGGGATCCTGAGGGTCTGATTTGGATTCTCAGCAAAGTTTTCTCCCCATGCGGAAGGGGCAGGGGGAGAAAATCGTCAGCAGAACAGAGTTCCTTTTGCAAGATGACCCCTCGAGCAGGAGGAAATGTTGCAGCACTGTCAGGCAGAACAGAGGGCTGCTTCTGAGGACAAGGGAGGGTGGGGGATCCTATGAGTCCTCCAGATGTCCCCCTATGTTTTTAATCCAGTACAGGAACCTCACCCTTCTCTGATCAGTGCTCTCCCTTCCAGCTGGGAAACCTGCTGGGGCTATGGATTCAGCTAATGTTCTTCAACTACTTGACAGCTTAGACTCTTTTTTTTTTTTTTTTTTGAGAGGGGGTCTCCTCTATCATCCAGGCTGGAGTGCTATGGCATGATCTTGGCTCACTGCTACCTCCTGGGCTCAAGCAATTCTCCCACCTCAGCCTCTTGAGTAGCTGGGACTACAGGCACATGCCACCACACCTGGATAGTTTTCGTGTTTTTTGTAGAGACAGGGTTTTCACCATGTCGTTTGGGCTGGTCTTGACCTCCTGGACTCAAGCGATCCGCCTGCCTTGGCCTCCCAAAGTGTTTGGGTTACAGGCATGAACCACCGCACCCAGCCAAAGGCTCAGACTCTTAAGACGGGTTTTCAGATATCCTGGCCTCGCATCTGTAAGGGATGAAATTCCGCGTTGTTCTAGGAAGTCTTTAGGTTTCAGTCTGTGACTTGAATTCAGACTTTAGAGATTTGAACTTCTAATTCTCTAAGTTTTTCAGCGCCATTAAAAGCAGTCACCCGCCTATGGCCTCGGATTTCTTGTATCCATACGATTTCAGGATGGAAGCAACAGAGTCTCCAAAAGCCGGGCTTACAGCAGGCATGACATCCCAGGCTCCTCCTGGCGAACTAATTACCAAACTTCCTGGGCTGCTCTGTCCCTGTCTCTGCATATCATCAGAACATTTGCTCTTTTCTCTCCTCTCTAAGGCAGATAACCAACCGCAGACATTCCTTATCTCCCCTCTTCTCCATAATTTGCAATACCCACTCCTGGTACCGAATTTCATATCAGCTAGGAACTTTTCAGTGACAAGTAATAAAAACCGAATCTGTTATAAAGAAAAAAAAAATGTATTGGAAAGATTTGAGGGGCTCATAGAGTCCTGGGAAATGGGAGGCTTAGGTTTGGAAAATGGTTAGGACCCAAAGTCGCCTGGAGAGCCCAGGAACAGGAGGCCCAGCAGCCGGTCAGTGCTTCTGAGACCACTGCTGGGCACTGCCCTGTGAGCTCTGTGCTCTTCATTCTCTGTATTCAACAGCTTTGTAGTCTAGCTGAGAGACCCTGGAGGCCACGCCCAGGCCAGGTGCCCACGCGCGGCGGGAGCAGGGAGAGGGGAGGTCAGCCCCTCTGTGTCAGTGGGTGATGAGGCACCCCAACAGGATAGAGGAGCCCCAGTGGAATTCTGCATTCCCATTCTTTCTCCTCCTTTGTGTGGAACATTTCTCCTTGGTGTTTTGTTGTTGTTGTTGAATTGGAGTCTCTGTTGCCCAGACTGGAGTGCAGGGGTGTGATCTCGGCTCACTGCAACCTCCACCTCCTGGGTTCAAGTGATTCTCCTGCCTCAGCCTCCCAAGTAGCTGGGATTACAGGCGCCCACCACCACGCCTGGCTAATTTTTGTATTTTTAGTAGAGACGGGGTTTCACCATGTTGGCCAGACTGGTCTCAAACTCCTGACCTCAGGTGATCCACCCACCTTGGCGTCCCAAAGTGCTGGGATTACAGGCATGAGCCACTGTGCCCTGCCATCCTTGGTGATTCTTTTAGTGCATTTTAGTCTTGTAATTGACAGAGAGCCGCGGGTATGGCACTTTCCTCTGTGAACTGCAAGTCAGGATGAGGGACGGAAGGTTTCAGGAGAGGAGGGGGTGTTTCATCCTCAATAGCTAAGAACAGCGCCACTAGAATGGATGGATTTACAGTCACTGAGGGGAGTAAAGTGTCAACTAAACCCCCTGGTAATATAGTGCCTAATATTCCCTAAAATATGCACACATTGAGTTTAGATTAGTGCCCGGGCAGAGTGAGGTGTGGGGGAGGCTGTGATTTGTGTCGGGCTGGTCCTGCCTCAAAGGAGCACAGCCCTGTGGTGAGGCAAACCCGCAGTACCCAGGGACTCCGCTCTGCGCTGTGCAATTCCGAGCCAGCAGGTGGCAGCCTCAGCCAAGAGGAAGAGGTCCTTGTGGCCCACAGGGGTGGAAAGTCAGAAACGGGGGTCTTTCCCTGTGTCTTTTGGTCCCTGCTCTCCCACTTCCTAATGTCTAGAGAAGGGTTTAAACAGGGAAAGTCACACCACAAGATATATGTTAAAAAGTTAGACAGGCAGGAAGAAAATGGAAATCTGCATCTATACAAGGGGATAAAGAACATTGTCCATGGTTAAAATAAATAAAAATGGAAAGGGGAAAGTTAAGAGTCTTATTTCTTGGCCAGGTGCGGTGGCTCAAGCCAGTAATCCCAGCACTTTGGGAGTCCAAGGCGGGTGGATCACCTGAGTTCGAGACCAGCCTGGTCAACACGGTGAAATGCTGTCTCTGCCAAAAATACAAAAATTAGCCAGGTGTGGTGGTGCACGCTTGTAATCGCAGTTACTTGGGAGGCTGAGGCAGGAGGATCACTTGAACCCAGGAGGTGGAGGTTGCAGTAAGCTGAGATTGGATCGCACCATTGCACTCCAGCCTGGACAGCAGAGCAAGACTCTGTCTCAAAAAAAAAAGTCTTATTTCTTGATCAAGAAAAATCAAGGCAAAATATAAAAGGCGAAGAGCAATCCATTTTCTTCAAGGTAAACGTTTAGGGCAGGGAATGAGGGAAGAGTGGGAGATGTGAATCATTTAGATTTGTGGCAGCTGAAGACATGGGGACTGAAGGTCAGGTGTGGTGGCTCACGCCTGTAATCCCAGCACTTTGGGAGGCCGAGGCAGGCAGACTGCTTGGACTCACAAGTTTGAGACCAGCCTGGCCATCATGGTGAAACCCCGGCTCTACTAAAAATACAAAAACTAGCCAGGCATGGTAGTGTGCACCTGTAGTCCCAGCTACTCCAGAGGCTGAGGCATGAGAATTGCTTGCAGTGGAGATTGCAGTGAGCCAAGATTGCACCGCTGCACTCCAGCCTGGGCGACACAGTGAGACTCTGTCCCCTCCCCCACAAAAAAGAAGTCAGTGAAAAATGGCACTTTGAGAATATCTGATTGGGCACTATGCCCATGCCCCATCCCCCAAATGCCCACAGTGGCTCCCTCCTCCCCCTGGCTGTGCAAGGGATAGTTGGTGGCTGGTTTTCAGCCAGGACTGCTCTCCTCCTGCCCCACCTACGCTCCCTATTACTTTTGCCTGGGCGCCAAGGCTCACGCCTGTAATCCCAGTACTTTGGGAAGCTGAGATGAGTGAATCACTTGAGATCAGGAGTTTGAGACCAGTCTGGCTAACACAGCAAACGCTGTCTCTACTAAAAAAATATAAATATTAGCAGGGTGTGGTGGCGCATGCCTGTCATTCCAGCTACTTGGGAGGCTGAGGTAGGAGAATTGCTTGAACCTGGGAGGTGGAGGCAGCAGTGAGCTGAGATCTCGCCATTGCACTCCAGCCTGGGTGACAGAGCAAGACTGTTTCAAGAAAAAAAAAATTTTGTAGAGATGGGGTCTCACTATGTTGCCCAGGCTGTTCTTGAACTCCTGGGCTCAGTCAATCCTCCTGCCTCGGCCTCCCAGAGTGCTGGGATCACAGGTGTGAGTCACTGGGCCCAGTGTCCCAGCTCCTGCTCTGATCCAGCTCTAGCATTAACCGAGCTTCGTGGCTGTGGGCAGAACAACTTCCCCAGTCCTCAATTTTCTCATCTATAAAATGAGGCGGTGGGATTAGGCCCATGATTTTAGAAATAAACATCAAAAACAGCAAAGAAAGAGAAGAAGAAGGGAAGAGACGATGTGTAAACCATTGCTGAGCTGAGCCCGGACTTGCCACCGTGTGGATTAGATAATGCTGCTTCTCCTCACATGGAATTGTGGGAAATTCCCCAAAACTGTGACTGGAGCCAGCTTTAGGCAAGGCTTTTTCTCCTTCTGGAAAGAACATCTGAACTCAGTCACCTCGGACTCTGCCTTCCTCCTCTTTCTCCTTCTTTGTGTGGAACATTTCTCCTTGGTGATTCTTTTAGTGCATTTTTAAAATATTGAAAATAGACGTTTTATTTTGTTTACACAAGGTACAATGTCAAAATACAAATCATATATAATGTGTAGCTATAATAGACAAGGAAGTATAAATATAAACACATATATATGTAAAATGGCACTGAGTTGAGGTTTCTTCTTTGCGGATCCTTTGATGGAGAGGATTCGCTTGGCTCAGCATCTCTCCCACCTTTCCCGGGTCCCTGTCTGTGTGTGCAGAGCAGCTGGAGACAGGGTGGTTAGAAGCCCCAACGCTGGTGTCTTCCCTGGAGACACCTCCCACGCCAGGAGGAGCCTTGTAGTTGACAGAGAGCTTCAGGTTTGTCACTTTTCTCTGTGAACTGCAAGTCAGGATGAGGGACGGAAGGTTCGGGGCAGGGGTTTTATTTCATTACCACAAGTATTCCAGGCAGCTCACACTGTAATAAAATAAAACCCTTGCCCAGAAGCCTTTGGTCTCTCCTGGGAAGCTGGGTCCTGGATCCGAGGCAGGCAGGTGGTGCCCATGGGAATGCGGAGAACCTGCTTCCCTGCGCAGGAAGCGCCGACCCGCAGTCCGTGAGATCCTGCTGGGACGTCTGAGAGGCCCGGCCCCGGAGCCCACCTCCTTGCACCTCTTCTCAGTCGTCTTTAGCTAAAGCAGATAGGCTCCTTCACTCCGGACATAGCTGGGCTGGTTTCCCCGAGTCTCAGAGGTCGTGAGAGCAGTTTTCCAAGTCTTCATCTCTGCTGCTGGTCTCCCCAGTCACTGGCAGAGCCTCAATGGCTTCCATTTCAATGCTGGCCGGCGGGGGAGTTTGCCTGCAAAGCAGGTGGTTCATAGGTTTTGAAAAGAGGAGGGGTTTGGCCTCAAATCAACAGATGCTTCCCACTGAGCATGTCCAGCACTGTGGGGATGGCAGGAGCAGACAGAGGCCCTGCCGCAGGAGTCAGACAGAGAGCACTTAGTCCTCAGAGATGGAGAGAACCTAGAATGCCTACCTCTACAGAGAGTATTAAATCCTATCTAGCGGCCAGTTGTGGTGGCACATGCCTGTAATCCCAGCACTTTAGGAGGTTGAGGTGGGAGGATCACTTGAGCCCAGGAGTTCAAGACCAACCAGGGCAATATGATGAGAATAATAAATCCTCTCTAGGTATTTCCAACCTCCCCATCCACCAAAGATCCACCAAATGTTGTTGGAGCAACTCACGCCACCCCACGCTCACCCCACGCTTTGCCAGTCCTCTGCCAAAAAGCCGTTCAAATGGCAGGAATAAGAAAAGGAGAGAGGGACTGGGAGCCTGGCCAAACCAGACTTGATCATCTTGAAAAAAGTGATTTAATATTCATGAAGCTTTTAAAAACAGTTCTTAGCATTTAGTATGTGTGAAATAAATAAAGAAATACACAAGTCAATCAGCTCCTGAATGATAAGCACAGGGGAGGCAGGACATCGGGTGCTGACGTCCTGGGCATCTGGCCGGCACCTTCTCCCCGGGCAGGTGAAACGTCCCTCCGGAGGAGCAGCAGCTCTTTTGGCCATTTTAAGGTAAGTGGTGTGAGCTGCCTGGAGTGAGAGCTAAAATAAAGCAGGATGCAGGTCCATTCACTGAAAATAATTTGCTAACAGCCAATTTGTCAAATGGCAAATCTAATAACCCATTTGCAAAAAACAAGTTTATGGTAAGCATCAGTTCACCAAATGACCAAGTAATTTATCAAATTTATCAATTCTTCTTTTCCTTCTTCTTCTTCTTTTTTTTTTTTTTTTTCTGAGACAGGGTCTCGCTCTGTCTCCCAGGCTGGAGTGCAGTGGTGTGATGCCGACTTGCTGCAACCTCTGCAGACAACCACGCCCAGCTAACTTTTTGTATTTTTTGTCAAGATCAGGTTTCACCATGTTGGCCAGGCTGGTCGCAAAAAAAAGCGATCCATCCACTTCAGCCTCCCAAAGTGCTAGGATTACAGGTGGGAGCCACTGCCCGACCATGCCAATTCTTCCTAAAGATATATTTATTTCACTTTTTGAGCTTTTTAAAAATGAAAAAAATTTTTTATGTGTGGGGATCGGGTCTCACTATGTTGTCCAGGCTGGTTTCAAACCGCTGGGCTCAAGTAATCCTTCCACCTCAGCCTCCCAAAGTGCTGGGATTACAGGCATAAGCCACCATGCCCAACTGAAATATCTTTCATATAGCCAGTAAATATTGCTGTTTTCCTCTTATGAACATATTTATTGGCCATATATACCAAATTTACAAATCCTTTTTAAGAATATATTTTAATGTAATTTTCATAAAAAGGTGGTATATACATTTAAACATATATTCAGTGAATATATGTATTCATTATAACCTGTTAAAAATATAACTCCAAATTCAGCATTTTATATGGAAATTCTGTAGTTATTAATAATGATATTTTGAAAATTATTTTAAAAGTCATTTTCTGTTTTGTCAACATTTTTCATTTTTTGAATTCTTTGGACAAATTTTTGAGTAACATCAATGTTTGTTAATTTCTCAACTGTCTATGAGGTTTATGGCATTTTTTATTGTTTGGGATGGTATTCACAGCTTTTGAAGATTTATGTGAAGTTTTAGATACTGGTTTTCATTTTGACTTTATGGTAGCATTTCATAGAATGTTCATTTTGTCAAAATTAGGCTCAAAGGGTCACATAATTTTTATATTGATATCACATTTAGAAAAGAACGTTTTATAACTATTAATAGTAACTAAAAGTTTAGTTTGGACAAATCTGAAATCTATATCAGTATGGAATGCTGGAATACTGGTTACTAATAGATAGAAGCACAAAATTAAGGCCAGAATGCCATTTGAGGCTTTAATCAAAGAATAATAACACTGCCTAAAGATTAGAAAAATGAGAAAAATTTAAAAAGTCAGCAAGTGGCAGAAACATTTTTGCCAGAAATGCTAAGATGCAGAATTTCAATGATCAGGAATACAAAATTAAGGCTAACATGAATGAGTATATTTGTAAGAAGGCATACCCCTATTCAATGAGGACCTTCAAGAATATATTTACGGGGATATCACAAGAAGAACGGACAGAACTGCATGCGTTGGCCACCCGGTGCACTTTCTCTGGCCGCCCCATTTCTACCGTGGGCAGGGGTAGGGGGCACTCGGGCTTGGGGCTGGCTCACTGATCCTCGGCTGTGGCGCTCGTTGGCCCCTACAGAAGGGGTGTGTGATAGCCAATGGCCAGGAAAGGGGTCCTTCTTGGGATGGGGCATTCTGGAATCACTATGGTGCGGCTCTTTTCTTTTTCTTTTTTTTGAAACAAAATCTTGCTCTGTTGTCCAGGCTGGAGTGCAGTGGCGCGATCTTGGCTCACTGCAACCTCTGCCTCCCAGGTTCAAGCAATTCTCCTGCCTCAGCCTCCCAAGTAGCTGGGATTACAGGTGTGCACCACCACGCTTAGCTAATTTTTGTATTTTTAGTAGAGACAAGGTTTCACCATATTAGAAAGGCTGGTCTCAAACTCCTGACCTCAAGTGATCCACCCACCTCAGCCTCCCAAAGTGCTGGGATTCCAGGTGTGAGCCACCGCGCCCCGCCAGGTGCAGCTCTTTTCTCGTGGGGGAATACTTCCTCTTGCAGAGGGAGTATCCACTGTAACTCACCTTGACTTGATGTAGCATGCCAGGAGAGACACAGCGCTCAGTCCACACAGCAGGACGGTGGATGTGGAGATAGCCACTGAAAGAGAGGAGACCACGCTGAGACACCCAGGAGCACATTCATTGCTATGAATTGCAAATTCTTTACCATGGACGTTCTTACAGAGGGATCCAAGTGCCTCCCAACAAGCCTGCTGCTATGGACGTTTCTTAAGGTCCATGCAATTCCCTCTATTCTATGTCTAGGCAAAAACACATTCTCTTTCCTGCTGAGGGTGCCAGCTCCCTGTCGTCCCACACCTCTGCTCCTCATCTTTGTCCTTCTCAGGCAGAGTGCCTGGGCTGACGGGGCAGGGACGGGGCAAGTCAGGAGGCAGCAGTAAGAGCCTCAAGGGCAAAGCCAGGAGTGGGACGAGGAGAGAGCGCTCTTGCTGCTAAAGCCAGGGTTGAGAAAGCAGACAGGGACACCCCTCCTCTGCAGTACCCAGTACAACGCCCCCTTTTCTTCAACTCAGAGGTTTAGAAACAATAGCACCCAGTGCCATTTTCCTTCCAATTTCATTTTTTTCTCACTTGCCATTTTTTTTCTTTTCTTTTTTTTGAGACAGGGTTTCCCTCTGTCACCCAGGCTGGAGTGCAGAGGCACTATCTCAGCTCATTCCTACCTCTGCCTCCTGGACTCAAGTGATTCTCCTGCCTCAGCCTTCTGAGTAGCTGGGATTCCGGGCACACACCGCTATGCCTGGCTAATTTTTTGTATTTTCAGTAGAGATGGGGTTTCACCAAGTTGGCCAGGCTGGTCTCAAATGCCTGACCTCAATTGAACCACCTGCCTCAGCCTCCCAAAGTGCTGGGATTATGCAGGTGAGCCACTGCATCCAGTCTACCTACAACTTTGTTTTATTTTTTTATTTTTTATTTTTTGAGACGAAGTGTCACTCTGTTGCCCAAGCTGGAGTGCAGTGGTGTGATCTCGGCTCACTGCAACCTCCAGCTCCAGGTTCAAGCGATTCTCCTGCCTCAGCTTCCCAAGTAGCTGGGACTACAGGCACGTGCCACTATGCCTGGTTAATTTTTGTATTTTTAGTAGAGACAGGGTTTCACTATGTTGGGCAGGCTGGTCTTGAACTCCTGACCTTGTGATCTGCCTGCCTCAGCCTCCCAAAGTGTTGGGATTACAGGCGTGAACCACTGTGCCCAGCCAACTTTTTCTTTTCTCTCTTTTTTTCTTTTTCTTTTTCTTTTTCTTTCTTTCTTTTTTTTTTTTTTTTTTGAGACGGAGCCTCGCTGTGTTGCCCAGACTGGAGTGCAGTGGCTCGATGTTTGCTCACTGCAACCTCTCCCTCCCAGGTTTAAATGACTCTCCTGCCTCAGCCTCCCAAGTAGCTGGGATTTCAGGCACCTGCCACCACACCTGGCTAATTTTTGTATCTTTGGTAGAGACGGGGTTTTGCTATGTTGGCCAGGCTGGTCTCGAACTCCTGATCTCAGGCCCGCCTTGGCCTCCCAAAGTGCTGGGATTAGAGGCGTGAGCCATGGATCCTGGCCACCTGCAGCTTTTGATGGCAGAGAAAGAGCAGTAAGGAGAAAGAAGAGGTCTTTTGAGAGATGTTATATATAAGAGGAGGTTAGGATTTGGGACCATTTTGAATGAGTTGAAACGAACAGCTTGGGACACTGACAGGTGTCACCTGAAGTTTATCAGATAGCATAGGAAGAAGGGGGTCTTTCTGTGTGAGCTAGGGGGCTTAGTCGGAGGGCAGGGGAACAGAACTATTGTTAAAAACACTTGCAGGCCTGGTGCAGTGGCTCATTCCTGTAACCCCAGTGCTTTGGGAGGCTTAGTGGAGAGGAACACTTGAGGCCAGGAGTTCAAGACCAGCCTAGGCAACATATCAAGACCCCCATCTCTACAAAAAATTAGCTGGGCGTGATGGCACACACCTGTAGTCCAAGCTGTCTGGGAGACTAAGGTGGGAGAATTGTTTGAGCCCAGGGGTCTGGCACTGCGGTAAGCTGTGATCACGCCACTGCACTCCAGCCTGGGCGACAGCAAGACCCTGTCTCTAAAGACAAAAACAAAAACAAACAAAATGCACTTGCAGGTTTGACCAATGAGCCTGACTATTGTGAATTTCCCTGAAAAAACATCACCCAGTGCTCTGCATGCAAGACGACGGCGCTGAGATCTGCAGCAGTGGCTGCCGCTCACTGAAGACCGTGGGCCGCACGTCTCATGGACCCTGGGGGCTTTGAGGGCCTTTGCTGCATGACCTCCAGGCCCTGCCCATATATCAAAATAAACCTCCCAGGGCTTGGCCTTCCAATACAACTCTACTGCAAAACATCTGAGTATAAGGGTGTAGGGACACTCAGAGCCTTGTGGCTGGGAGTGTAAACTCGTGCCACCTTTCCCAAAGGCAGTTGAGTAGCGCACACTCTTTGACTCTCTAGTGCAAGTAGAATTTACTCTTAGAGAATAGACAAATACAAGGGTATTTGTCACTCAAGTATTGTTTAAACTAATTTCCTTTTTTTTTTTTTTTTTTTTTTTTTTGAGATGGAGTCTTGCTCTGTCACCCAGGCTAGAGTGCAACGGCATGATCTTGGTTCACTTCAACCTCCGCCTTCCAGGTTCAAGTGATTTTCCTGCCTCAGCCTCCCGAGTAGCTGGGATTACAGGCACTCACCACCAAGCCCAGCTAATTTTTGTATTTTTAGTAGAGAAGAGGTTTCACCACGTTGGCCAGGCTGGTCTCAAACTGCTGACTTCAAGTGATCCGCCCCCCTCGGCCTCCCAAAGTGCTGGGATTACAGGTATGAGCCACCATGCCCGGCCTAAAATAATTTTCAAGACGTTAATCTGAATCTCTTATCAACAGACAATTAGTTAAATAAAATGTGGTATGCCCATATGATGGAATACTATTCAACTATTAAAAATTATAAAATAGATCTGCATTTATTAACATGGAAAGATGTCTGCAACATCTTAAGTGAAAAAGATATTGAGATGAAAATGAACCCACAGGCTGGGCTCAGTGGCTCATGCCTATAATCCCAGCACTTTGGAAGGCTGAGGCAGGTGAATCACCTGAGGTCAGGAGTTCCAGACCAGCCTGACCAATATGGTGAAACCCCGTCTCTGCTAAAAATACAAAAATTAGCAGGGCATGGTGGCGTGTGCCTGTAGTCCCAGCTACTTGGGAGGCTGAGACAAGTGAATTCCTTGGACCCGGGTGGTGGAGGTTGCAGGGAGCCGAGATCACACACTGCACTCCAGCCTGGGTGACAGAGCAACAGTCCGTCTCAAAAAACAAACAAACAAAACAAACAAACACAAAATACAACCCACAACAGGCTGAGTGCAGTGGTTCACACTTGTAATCCTAGCACTTTGGGAGGCTGAGGTGGGCAGATCACCTGAGGTCAGGAGTTTGAGACTAGCCTGGCCAACATGATGAAACCCTGTCTCTTCTAAAAATACTAAAATTAGCCGGGCGTGGTGGTGGGCGCCTGTAATTCCAGTTAGTTGAGGGACTGAGGCAGGAGAATCGCTTGAACCCGGGAAGCGGAGGTTGCAGTGAGAGTCATTGCACTCCAACCTGGGTAACAGAGAGAGACTCTGTCTCAAAAAAAAAAACCAACCAACCAACCAAACAAACAAACAAAAAACACCTACAATAATCTCCAACCAGCCATGTGCATGTCCATATGCACAGAAAAGTCTTGAGGAATATATACAATGGTGGGATTCGAGATGATCTTTATTTCTTTTTTTTAAAAAAGTCTGGTTTTTTTTCATATATTTGCAATGACACTGTAATCAGAATAAATAGTAAAATTATAGAAACAAAATAAAACAACTTGTAGGTAAATAAAAAAGCATAGAAAAATTGTTACAAAAGAAGTAACAGAAAACACGAGAAATTAATGAAAAATGTTTTGAGTTTTTGGCCTTAACATGAATCATTATTATGACTAAAAAAAGAAATCTGTCGTAGTGGAGATGCTGCACCTGACAGTAAGCTCTGTCTTCACGTTGGCTAGTGAGTTGACACACATTGACGGTGTAGGGGGTGTTTTATTGCAAAAGGCAACATGACATAAACTGTGCTTCTCCCTTCAGAAGATCCCTCCCCGTTTCTGTTTAAGTGACAAGAAAATCTGCAGAATGAAACTCAAGAGAGAAGAGGGCTCCTGAACCAAGGATAAAACAAAGCAACTTGAACTCAGCGCCAGACCCTTGGCCTCTCCCTCAGTGACATCCGGGCAACTCCAGTGAAGACGCGGAAACCAGAATCACCAAGGCAGTGAATTAACAGCTTACCTGCCAAGCCCTCCACCTTTTATTGTTTCCTGGGGGGTGTGTGGATTGGAGGAAAAGGAAGAGAAAGAGATCTGGTGAGACAGAGGAGGAGCGAGGAGGAAGGAGAGAGGGGAAAGGTGATTACTGCAGAGGAGGCCATGAAAACCACATCTCCCCACCAGCCCCCACCTTCAGCCTGTGCGCAGATTGGGTCCAGGACAGAGAAGGTAGCTGAGACAGCCGGGGGCCAGTGTTTGGCATGGATGATGAAAATGTCCTCTGGGCATATGCAGGGAATAGCCGTTCCTCAGCAACACCCTGACCAATTAGGCCAATCACTGGGTGTTAATACCCGTGTGTCACTGTGGCCAGAGCTCCTGAGTGCCTGCATCGGGTGAAGGCGATTTTGAGGGAAGAGCGTCAACTCAAGTACTCTGAGCAGCCATCTGGTCCTATCCTCCCTCTTTTCTTTCCTTCCTTCCCTCCTTCCTTCCTTCCTTCCTTCCTTCCTTCCTTCCTTCCTTCCTTCCTTTCTTCCTTCCCTCCTTCCCTCCTTCCTTCCTTCTTTCCTTCCTTCCTTCCTTCCTTCCCTCCCTTCCTTCCTTCCTTCCTTCCTTCCTTCCTTCCTTCCTTCCTTCCTTCCCTTCCTTCCTTCCTTTCTTCCTTCCTTCCTTCCTTCCTTCCTTCTTTCCCTTTCTTCCTTCCTTCCTTCCTTCCTTCCTTCCTTCTTTCCTTCCTTCCTCTTTCTCTTTTTCTTTTTCTGTCTCTCTTTTTCTTTCTCTTTCTTTCTCCTCCCTCCCTCCCTCCTTCCTTTCCTCCTCCTCCTTCTCTTCTTTTTCTTCTTCTTTCTTCCTTTCTTTCTCCTGCCTCCCTCCCTTCTTCCTTCCTTTCTTCCTCTTCTTCTTTCTTTCTTTCACTTTCTCTCTTTCTCTCTCTCTCTTTCTTTCTTTCTTTCTTTCTTTCCTTGTTTTCTTTTCTTTTCTTTCCTTTTTTTTTTTTTTTTTTTTTTTTTTGGAGACAGGATCTCACTCTGTAGCCCAGACTGGAGTGCAGTGGCACCATCATAGCTCACTATATCCTCAAACTCCTGGGCTCAAGTGAGCCTCTTACCTCAGCCTCCCAAGTAGCTTGGACCACAAGTATACACCACTACACTTGGATAATTTTTTAAATTTTCATTTTTTGTAGAGACAGGGTCTCACTATGTTGACCAAGCTGGTCTCTCAAATTCCTAGGCTTATGCAAGCCTCCCGCCTTGGCCTCCCAAAGTGTTAGGATTACAGGTGTGAGCCGCCGTGCTTGGCCTAGTGGTTTCTTTTCTATCTCTATTGCACTAAGCATGTAGTAGGTGTTGGGTTCACAGTAGATACTCAATAAATACTTGATTGATCAAGTTAAGCTTTTAAAGTTCTATAAATTGAAGTAAATTTAAAGTGACATTTGCTTTTTAATGAGGGATCTGTATTTCATAATAGCTTAGGACCATTCCTGGCACAGAACAGAAACTCAGTTTATATTGAATGGATGAATGATAAAACATAGAGGCAGCTCCTGTCAAAGGCTGAGCACATCAACTGCGGCAAATTCATTTCAGCCATGAAAGCCCAGAGGCATATTGCCATCCTGAGAAGTAAGTCCTCACACCTGGCATACTAAATCACACTAAACCATACTAAACCTGGCATGCTAAGTGCTGGCATCGTGGCATGCTGGCCTTTTAGTTTACAATCAAGAGTCCTCAAGAACAGCTTCATCAGGGACGGGAGACCAGATATTGGAATAATTGTAGAAAGTTATTGATAAAAAGGGCTGCCAACATGGAATCAATGTAAATGCCCATCAGTGATAGACTGGATAAAGAAAATGTGGTACGTATACACCACGGAACACTATGCAGCCATAAAAAGGAGTGAGATCATGTCCTTTTCAGGGACATGGATGGAGCTGGAAGCCATCATCCTTGCAAACTAACACAGGAACAGAAAACTAAACACCACATGTTTTCACTCATAAGTGGGAGCTGAACAATGAGAACACATGGACACAGGGAGGGGAACATCACACACTGGGGCCTGTGGGGAGGGGAAGATGGAGGGAGAGCATCAGGAAGATGCTAATACATGTGGGGTTTAATACCAAGGTGGTGGGTTGATGGGTGCAGCAAACCACCATGGCACACATTTACCTATGTAACAAGCCTGCATGTCCTGCACATGTATCCCGGAACTTAAGGTAAAATTAAATTAAATAATAAAAAAAGGGCTGCCAAGTAAGCCAGTAGATATTTAAGACAATGAAACTATGAACTGTATTTCTTAAATATTTATTAAAATGTTAAAGCCCTCAAATTCACTCATTCATTTGCTTACTCATTTGATATTTATTGAGCATCTACTATGTAGCATTTACTGTTGAATTAAAAAGAGCAAAAGCGTAGAGCTAATCATTTATATAACTTATTTTAAAAAGCAAATTATGATATTGGTAGTATCAATGGGTTGATTGAAACGTCAGTTAATTTACTGAGCAACCACTGTGGTAAAGCGTTGTTAATACTTTCTTATGAAGATGAGCTCAACTGATTGCTTATTCATGCAGAAGTACCAACATCCACTGATGTTCAAGGAGCCAGTGAGTAGCTCTCCCACACATAACTTGTGCTCCTGGATCTCAGGGTGGCTGATCCAACATAAAACACCTGAAGTTTTTTGTGTGTGTGGCATCTCTGTATTTCCACAGTTCCTTGCACAGAATTATCTTTGTCCATTGTAGGCATTTGGTTAATGTTTATTATATTACATTTCAGAATTTGGGAGAAAGTTTGTGTGTGTGTGTGTGTGAGTCTCGCTCTGTCTCTCAGGCTGGAGTGCAGTGGCGTGATCTTGGCTCACTGAAACCTCTGCCTCTTGGGTTCAAACAATCTCTTGCCTCAGACTCCTGAGAAGCTGGGATTACAGGCACACGCCACCATGCTCAGCTAATTTTTGTATTGTTAGTAGAGACAGGGTTTCACCATGTTGGCCAGGCTGGTCTCGAACTCCTGGCCTCAAGTGATCTGCCCACCTCGGCCTCCCAAAGTGTTGGGATTACAGGCGTGAGCCTCAGCGCCCGGCTGCTTTTTTTTTTTGAGACAGAGTCTCGCTCTGTCGCCCAGGCTAGAGTGCTGTGACCGGATCTCGGCTCACTGCAAGCTCAAGCTCTGCCTCCCGGGTTCACACCATTCTCCTGCCTCAGCCTCCTGAGTAGCTGGGACTACAGACGCCCGTCACCTCGCGGGGCTAGTTTTTTTGTATTTTTTAATAGAGACGGGGTTTCACCGTGTTAGCCAGGATGGTCTCGATCTCCTGACCTCGTGATCTGCCCGTCTCGGCCTCCCAAAGTGCTGGGATTACAGGCTTGAGCCACCGTGCCCGGCCCCGGCTGCTTTTTTAATGTAATAAAAGTCATGAACTGGAAAAGGCAGATTATAGATTATAGCCCATCATCAAATAGTTGTTGGCAAATCTATGTAGAAAAAATGACCCCTGAACTTTACACGTAGGATTTTATCCTACAGATATTCTTGCACCTACAGATTTTCAATTAATGGCTGTTTGTAAGATAACCACAGAATGTAGCAATCACATGTCCAGATAGGGGGTTGGCTAAATTAATGGTGGGAATTCCATACAATGGAATATTCTGTAACTGTTAAAAACGATGAGATGGTTTTTGTGTCCTGATATGGGGGGATCTACGAGGTATGCCAGCAAGTGGAAACAAACACGGTACCGAACAGAAGAAATGAAGCAACCGTCCAGCATTCCTTATCCTCTATGTGTTTATTTGTACAGTCTCTCTGGAAGGATGCCTGGAAATCTGGCAGCAAGTGTTGCTTCCTTCCTGCAAGGGGTTTTTTGAGTTAGAAATGGGATTTACTTTTCGTCTTTTTTCTGAGACAGGGTCTTATTCTGTTGCCCAGGCCAGAGTGCAGAGGCCGACTACAGCTCACTGCAACCTCCGCCTCCTGGGTTCCAGCAATTCTCCCACCTCAGCCTCCCAAGTAGCTGGGACTACAAGCATGTGCCACCATGCCCGGCTAATTTTTTTGTGTTTTTAGTAAGGATGGGGTTTCGCCATGTTAGCCAGGCTGGTCTTGGACTCCTGGCCTCCAGTGATCAGCCCGCCTCGGCCTCCCAAAGTGCTGGGGTTATAGGTGTGAGCGACCTCGCCCAGCCTGATTGTTTTTTAAACTATTCTAATCAATTAACTGCTAAAATGTCCAAAGTCACTTGATGTTTTCCCAGATGACGTTTGATGCAGGTAAAAATGAGACCACAAAAATATGAGTCATTCTCTAGCAGGAAAATTTATGAACAGAAGATTAAAATAATTTTTGCCCATATCAAATTACAGTTGGGTTTTTTTGTTACTTTGGAAGCTTGTCAGCCTGGAGCATGACTTGCTTTCTTCTCATTACTTGCGTTCTTCCTCCCTGCCTGCTTCCCTTCTTCCTCCTGTTCTCCCCTCCTCTCTCAGCTCTCCTCCCCTCCCTTCAGCTTTTTCTTTTAGTCTTGCAAATGCTTTCCCCTTTTCCTCCTTATCGTCACTTGCACATTCTCTTTTCTATTCTCCTAGCCTTAGCATTGCATGTGTCTTCTGTAAGGAGGAACAGTTTTTGGTTTTATTTTGTGTTGTTAACTTTTTTTCTTTTTCTTTTTTTTGTTTTTTAAATAGAGATGGGGTCTTGTTATGTTGACCAGGCTGGCCTCAAATTCTGGCCTGAAGTGATCCTCCCACTTCGGCCTCTCAAAGTGCTGGGATTACAGATGTGAACCACCATGCCTGGCCAAGAGGAGTGTTTTACACTGAAAATGTGGACAGCTTCTCTGTTAAGTGCACGGCGAGGGACCGGCAGCTTCTGGCAGAGATGCTGTAATGTCAGTGCTGGCATTGGCACCTGTGGCTTTGGATGCTCCGTGCGAGGGAGGTGGACCCTGCTGGGTAGAGCTGTGAAGAGCTGACCTTGAGCCCTTTTGTGGGGTGCCAACACTCTGGGTTCAACGCCAGTAGCCTGACCGCTAGAAGCTACCAATATTTAGAAAAACAGGCACATCAAACAGAGAATTCCATAAAGCAGCTATTGTTTAACTTATTATGTGATGGAGGCCTTCTGAGTGTGGAAGGGACCGCTGCCAGGATTGTGCTGGGCGGCAGGCCTGGGCCAGGACCACTCAGCACCTGGGACTGCGGTCACCCTGATCATAAACATACTGCACAAAGGGACACACTTACCAGTGGTGTCGCTGTGGCCCTGTGGATACACACCTGTGGAAAAGAGAGGACAGCATCACGGCTCGAGTCCTAGAGGTCCTAGATCCTCATGAAGCAGGAGAAACTCGGCACAGCTCGGCTCCCATCTTAGCACCCTCGGAGACTCATGGCTGGCGTAACCAGACTTGTTTCAGCAAAGAACAAGCAGAGTAGCTCACTGAGGTGCTGGCCACACTTAAGAATCAGATGAGCTTTAGAGAAGGTCCACATTACCCACAGCTCCTCCATTCCACAGATCCTGGCCCCGGAGTGCAGGCAGCTTCCACCACCTCCTACTGCGAGAGGGCACAGATGCCACTCAGAGTCTCAGCATGAGCTCTGCTGTGCGGGGGATAAGGCTGGCTCTGTCACATCTTGGCGGGTGGGCTTGTTTTTCTAGTTGCCCCAGCCACAGAGAAAGCCACGGAGAAAGAGGCCAGGCCAGAAGGCTGTGGCTGGTGGCCGGGGGCAGCAGTCTACCCAGTGAATCCCGACTTTGGGTTGACGGTCTAAAGCCGCCTTGTGCTGGATCTCAGCCCTGATCTCAGAAGCAATAGTGAGAAATGGACCTCTCCTGGGGCAAAGCGAGTGCTAACCTGGCGGCTGGTGGGAGGCGGACGCCGTGAGTTCCCAGGTCTTGGCTGTTGTCTGAGAGGGGCCATGGGAGGACTCATGACTGCCTATCTCTGTGGTTCCTGTGGAAGGTGATGTGGAAGGCGTCAGCCGGGAGCTCGGGACAATAGCTGCTGTTGTGGCCGCTGTGGTGTTTGAGCTGGGAGATGAAGCTGCGGGCTCTGTAGGAGAGGCCAAGGCAGGGAGAGCATCAGTGTGCAGACTCCCCTCCTCTCAGCTGCAGCACGGGGTGATGTGGGCGCTGCCGTAGTGAGTCACCCGGGCCAGCCCTCCCTCTCCCACAGCAAACTGCTCCTTAAGAGGGTGACATAGCTGTTCCTCTGGAAGGGCCATAGGACCTGTGAAAACACTAAAGAACATGGCTACTATCACGGCACGTGTAAAGAAAAGATCAGCAAGACACAGTAGGTCATGCCTATAATCCCAACACTTTGGGATGCTGAGGTGCGAGGATCACTTGAGTCCAGGAGTTTAAGACCAGCCTGGACAACATAGCAAGACCCTATTTCTTTTCTTTCTTTTTTTTTGAGATGGAATCTCGCTCTGTCACCAAGACTGGAGTGCAGTGGCATGATCTCAGCTCACTGCAACCACTGTCTTCCGGGTTCAAACAATTCTCCCTGCCTCCGTCTCCCGAGTAGCTGGGATTACAGGTGCGCACCACCATGCCTGGCTAATTTTTGGATTTTTAGTAGAGATGAGGTTTTGCCATGTTGACCAGGCTGGTCTCAAACTCCTGACCTTAGGTGATCCACCCACCTCGGCCTCCCAAAGTGCTGGGATTACAGGCGAGAGCCACTGTGCCCTGCTGCAAGACCCTGTTTCTACAAAAATAAGAATAAAAATAAATTATCCAGGTGTGGTGGCGTGTGCCTATAGTTCCAGCTATCTGAGAGGCTGAGGCAAGAGAATCACTTTAGCCTCGGAGTTTCAGACTGCAGTGACCACTGTACTCTAGCCTGGGGGACAGAGTAAGACTCCTGTCTCTTCAAATAAAAGGCGGGGAGGGCAGGGGGTGGGTGGGAAGAAAAGAAAAGGTGTTAAAGATCGAGTGGCTCAGCTTGTTACTAGAGAAGGCAGGCCCAACGTTGGAGGCTCAGCTGAAAGCAGGTGAAGCTGCATTGGCCGAGGATGCTCGGGGCGGCTGAATGTGAAACACGTGAAGCCTGGGGTCTGGCCTGAACTCTCCGGGCTGTGTTGGAGGAAAGCGTCCTGATGAGCTCGCTGTCAGGAACAGAGGCTGCCTTGGGTTCAGAGTCTTCCCTGTCTTCTTTGTCCTTCCCTGGAAGGTGGCTGCCCCTGCACTGTAAAGGTACTGTTCCCTCTCCATGAAAAACGTGTCTTCCGTTGTGACAGCTACGGAATTTAGGAAATGTGGGGCCAACCGCTGTGGCTCTCTGGATGCACTGTTGTTGCGGCGTTCCCGTGGTCTCCCAGCCACACAGGTCATGAGAAGTCCTCACATCCCCTTAATCCTTTGTCACCACCTCGCATACAACTTGCCCTGCCCTCACTGCCAATGCTCCAGGGCTCCCTGCAGACAGGGCGTACCATGGCATCCTCAGCCAAGTGCCCACGGTCGTGCCAGCTCGGGTCAAAGGCTGCTGTCACATCGGAGCTTCTGACTGCACAGTTGTGTCTCGACAATGGCCATCGGACCAGGCATTTGGGATGCGAGAGTGGGGATGGGAGAGGCTTACTTGATCATTCTCCTCCTTGGGTTAATGAGGTGTGACTCAGATCAAAGGGGTTGTAGAATTACCTCAAGTTTAAATGGAGCCAGCCCCTCAACCCCTTCCTCCCTGTGCAGGTGACTCACTAGGAGGGAACCTTGTTTAGCTGCTTCTTCCTCCCTTAAGCTGCAGGCCTCAGCCTTGGCCACTTAAGAACCACCTGGGGGCCAGGTGCAGTGGCTCATAACTGTAATCCCAGCACTTTGGGAGACTGAGGCTTGCGGATCACCTGAGGTCAGGAGTTTGAGACCAGACTGACCAACATGGTGAAACCCTGTCTCTACTAAAAATACAAAAATTAGCTGGGTGTGGTGGTGCACGCCTGTAATCCCAGCTACTTGGGAGGCTAAGGCAGGAAAATCGCTTGAACCTGGGAGGCAGAGTTTGCAGTGAGCCAAGATTTCATCTCTGCCCTCCAGACTGGGCAATAGAGCAAGACTCCATCTCAAAAAAAAAAAAAAAAAAAAAAGATCCACCTGGGGCTGGAGAGCAGTGATTTCCAGCTTGCACCCAGGCCAACGGGAGCGCTCAGATGTCAGTGTGTATCCACGGCTGACAACCGACACTCCGCAAAGGATGGCTGCATTTTGTAGTATGAATGACAACAGACAGGCCCATCCCTGGGGGCAAAGGAGTAGGCAGGGGCCAGGGAAAGCCACAGGCTGGACGATGCAACACTAAAGCCAAGCGTGAACTGTAACATGAAGGTATCATAGCATGCAGGGCGGAGGATCCCAAGAAAGCATCCAAGATTTCAAATTTTCTGAACACTGAGAAAGTGCTGAGGAAATCGGTCCTGACAATCTCCAAAGACTCTGTTGAAGCCTGGGACACTGGCAGCTTCAGGCAATGCCTCTGCAATAGAGCATTCACCGAGATGTGCTGGCGTTTAGGTCTGGGGGGTTGCAGCTCTCCACAGGTCTCTGACGTTTCTGCACATCTTGTAGACAGGGGAGCTGACTGCCCTTTCTCTGTACCATCCTCTCAAGGGTGCTTCTGTAGCAAGCACCTCGGAAGATGGTGTCCCCTGGAGCATGAACATGGTCTCCCCTGGAGCAGAGAGCAGGCATGATTACTGTCCATGACAAAATGCTTGGGTCTCCGAAGCCAGGGCTTCCTCTCCCACAGTGCAGCCCGCTGAGCGGACAGGCATCTGTTGATCCCAGCTGTGCTGTGCCTACTGGCTAGGGGACGAGGAAACTGATGCAAACATGCTGAAGCTCCTGCTGCTTGCTGGCCTCCCATCCTGGAGTGCCCTCGTTTCTGCCAGCACCCATGAAAATATTGAGGGCTGAGACACGTGCAACCTCAAACCTCAGTCTACTTTCAGTTCTTGAAGATAAGCGTCTACAACTAAACATGATATGACATATTAGTGAGTTTTAAACCACTATTAATTCTGCACATATAACACCTGGATATCAAGCAACTTTGATTTGAAAAAGAAAATTAAGCTGGACGTTCTTATTCTTGATTGAATAAGACATTTGTGCTATTGCCTAAGTCTGCAGTGGCACACCATGGAGGTCCATGAGTCTGCTGGCTTGGTGATGGGGGCTTTGGGTGTTGGGAGGGAATAAATGTCCTCAAGAAGTTTCTGACCTTCCTACCTTTTCCAGAAGGGGAGAGGCTCTCTGGCTGTGGGGTCACCCCTGCCGTCGTTACTGTGAAGGGTGGCGCTGGCCTTTGGCGAGCCAGGAGAGGGTCTCCTAGAGAGAGGATAACCACATGGCACTTATGATCCTGAGCCTGGAACCTGGGCTAGCCTCAGAACTGGATACAAATGAAATATATTAACACATGAACTTACAGTGGAGGCGTCAGGCTTCCTGGGACAGGTTAAAAGCATGAGAAACAATGTTTCCTCACCCAAATGCAAAGATAGACTGCAAACTATTTTTCTTGCATTTCCAAAAAGACTGCACAAGTTAAATATCAAATTTATTTTGGCTGAGATGATATTAATGATATCAATTTAATTTTATAATAATGGCTATTCTTGGGAAAATAAATGATCACTCAATAGATTCTATTTTGTTTGTTTGAGACAGGGTCTTGCTCCATTGCCCAGGTTGGAGTGCAGTGGTGTGATCACAACTCACTGCAGCCTCGACTTCCCCGGCTCAAAAGATCCTCCTGCCTCAGTCTGCTGAGTAGCTGAAACTACATGTACTTGCCTCAATGCCCAGGTAATTTTTATTTTTTTAAATTTTTTTGGTAGAGACAAGGTCTTGCTATGTTGCTGAGGCTGGTCTTCAACTCTTGGTCTCAAGCAATCCCTCCCCCCTCGGCCTCCCAAAGTGCTGGGATTACAGATGTGAGGCACCATACCTGACTTACATTTCGCTTGTTTAGCAGGGAAAAAAAATCATTCAAAGCACAAGAGGTTGGGAAGCCTAACAGAGGGAGTCATGAGTGATCGGAATGCGGAAGGATCTTTGGGCGAGGTGAAAGCTAAAAAGACATCCAGTCTTTGGGCTTTAAAACCCTGATTCTGGGTTCTCTTCTCTCCTCTCCTCTCCTGACCCTGTCTGGAGCCCACAGCTCTTCTCCATCCCACATTCATTTGCCCAAAGCACATGGAGCATTGAGGAGACCTGACCTACCCTGCAGTGAGAAAGCCCTTGTTTTACCTCAGGCTTACAGGTTCCAGGGAGTCCCAGGACTGGCAGGTTAAGACCCACCATGGTTCCCACAGACCCTGCTCTCCCCGCCACGCTCAGCTTTCTCATTCACTCATTGATGCCATGGGGTGCTGTGTCCCCAGTGAGCGGTTTCTCAGAACAAGTCGGAGTCTTCCTCCCTGCCTTCCCCCTGCTGCCTGTGGGACTCGCTCTGTTCTAGGGGAGGAGGCTGAGCCTGCACTCCCAAGCCAGTGGCAACATTCAGCGCCTCACAGAGCTTCCCTCTGTCCCCGACTGCAGAGGGCGGGAGCGATGGGGTCGCTCCATGCAGGGGTGCGCTCATCGCTGCCCCACAGACGAGCTGGGGAAGGAGAGAAACCTGCTCTCAACGTTTGTCAAATGGGAATTCTCTTGAAAGCCCCTGGGTTAATTTTTAATTTTTTCCAGAGGGAGGAAGAGGGGGGCAGAAGCGGGCCTGAGTGTTCCAGAAACATCCCCAAGTGGCTCCCACCTGAGGAGGTTTGGCCGCTTCTGGGATGTTTATCCAGGTGCAGAGAGTTAAAAAAAAGTCAGTTCTTGCCACCTTCCCTCCCTCCTGCTGGACACCATGCACAGCTGACTGAGCACAGGGGAGCCCTGCTCCAGGGCCAGCGCCCATCCCCGGGGCTGGGTAATGAGCGAGGAGCAGTGATGGCTTCCAACATCCACCTTCTCATGAGAAATCCCAAAATTTCGCACACTAGTGTGCTCGTGAGTGCCCACCCAGCCTTGCAGCCAAATTCTCTTGCCAGCATCATCTCAAATCAAAGCACTACATGTAATAAGAGTTAACATGTACCAGGGTTCACGCCACCCTCCCACAGCCCGCAGTGTGGATATCACGTCCGTTTTCCAGATGACCAGCCAGAGTGCCAGAATGTCACAAGAGCCGCCCAAGGCTTCCTGGGTGGTAGGCGGCAAAGCCAGGATTGAAACCCAGAATTCTGTGACCCCAGCACCAGTGTATTTCCATTTCCAACGTCAGGAGCTGTTGCTGAGGATCCCACTGGTGTCTTTTTTTTGAGATGGAGTCTTGCTGTGTCACCCAGGCTGGAGTGCAGTGGTGTGATCTCGGCTCACTGCAACCTCTACCTCCCAGGTTCAAGCAATTCTCCTGTCTCAGCCTCCCGAGTAGCTGGGATTACAAGCACATGCCACCATGCCCGGCTAATTTTTGTATTTTTAATAGAGACAGGGTTTTACCATGTTGGCCAGGCTGATCTGGAACTCCTGACCTCAAGTGATCCTCCCACCTTGGCCTTCCAAAGTGCTGGGATTACAGGTGTGAGCCACCATGCCTGGCCCCCACTGGTGTCTTTAGCCTCAGACCTCAGCATAGATCCCTTGACCCCTGAGATGGTATCTTCTCTCTCTGCAGCCTCCGCGGGGTGGGGGAGGGAGGAGGGTGGGGTGGCGTGGGCTACTCACTAATGCATTTGAGACTGGGAGTTGTCCAGTGAGCGATGTTCGTGGCCTTGTTCAGCACGCACTCAGTCAGGCTGGACGTGCCGGCTTTACGCTTGAAACCAGAGTTACAAATGTACCGCTCCCTGGAGTACAAGCTGTAGCTCTTGACCCGGATGTCTGCGTGTTCCACGGACACTGGGGGAGGGCACGTGATGCCTGCAAAAGTGCAGAGGACAGGGGAAGGGTGAAGAGGTTTCCACTTGTAAGACGCGTTCTCCAGGCACATGTGGCGGTAGTCAGTAACTTTAGGGCTAGGTCCAGCTTATCCTAGGGGTGCCTTAGGAAAAGCCCCAGGTGCCAGGTACATGGAGGATGTGCAGGAAGGGCATCCGTCACCCAGAAGCCTTCCCAGAGCCTCACCTGAAGTGCCAGTCAGTCAGCAAAACTAGAGATGGGGGCGTGGGGAGAGGGTCATTGATGAAACGCCGTCTCCCTTCATTTCCCACCCCTCTCCAAGCCCTCAGTATCTCTCAAAAGTCTTCATTTCTCTCCACTGTGGACATAGCCTCCAATTCTCACTGAATGACAGCAACTGCCTACAGATAGGCCCCCTGCAGGCTCTCCCACAGGCCTCTGCGGCCAGCATCACCTTTAGAAATGCATCTTTGGGACTGGCCAACATAGTGAAACCCCATCTTTACTAAAAATACAAAAAATTAGCCGGGCATGGTAGCACGCACCTGTAATCCCAGCTACTGGGGAGGCTGAGGCAGGAGAATTGCTTGAACCTGGGAGACAGAAGTTGCAGTGAGCCCAGATCACGCCATTGCACTCTAGCCTGGGCGACAGAGCTAGACCCTGTCTCAGGAGAAAAAAAAAGAAAAGAAAAGAAAAGAAATGCATCTTTGACAACTTCACTCTTCCCTGACCACCCAGTGCTCTTAGAATAAAAACAAATCTTTACGAAGTCTTCAGGGCTCAGCCAGCCCCTCTAGCTCTCTTCCCCCAGCCATAATGGTCTTGGGCTCCCCTCGCACCACTCACCACGCTACCCACCTCTTCCCAAGCACAAGCCACCGTGGCACTCTGTCTCCCATCACCCTTCCTAGCTCACTGAAACACCGCCTCCTAAGGAAGACCGTGCCTCTCCCTGAGTACACAAGGGCCTGGGCTGAGTTCTTTCTCCCCTAGTCTCTTCCACAGTTTGTATTGGAGATGTTGAGATTACGTAATTCATGTGTATCCCACTGTGTGTGCTCTGAGCCAGATGAGGGTAGGGCCACATCTGTTTTGCTAACACTGTGATCCTGAGCCCAGCACTGTACCTGAAACTAGTAGGTGCTCAAGAAATCCTTGTTGGAAGAATGAATGGACGAACTCTGTTCCTCAGCCACAGTCTTCAGCCTGACTTTCTCACAGAAGTGAGTTCAATTTATTTCATTTCTACCTTTGTAACCAGTTTATCTCATTATCCTCTCTTTTTCAGAAGAAGCCAGAAGTAAGATGAATTGCTCCAGACGGCTTTACTTCTGTGACAGGTGGAATTGGACTCAGATTCCAAACTTCAGCTACACATCCAGCAATGCTGCAGGAGCTCTGTTCTGTGGAAATGAGGGGTTTTACGAGTCCACATCTAAGGGGATTGGCCTCAGAAGCAAAGAAAAGATGGAAATGTGTGTCACTTCCATTTCCATTCTGGGGACACTGTATTCACTAATGGCTTTTAGTTGTTGTTGATAATTATTTATTAACAACTATTGATATTTCTTTGTCCTCAAAAAATTCCTTTCCTATGTAAAAGCACATAACGTAAATGTTAAAGGCAACCTGACTTGAGTGAGCTGTAGGAGAACTTCAGGCTTTTTTCCTATGTTATGTAACAACAACAACAATGAAACCTGTAAAAAAGAAAGGTTGACTTGTTTTCCAGTAGGCAAACATGAATGAGGTTTGTGTTATTGATCATGTACCTAATATAAAAATCTGTGGACCCCAGGAAAGAATCTATTCAAGGCCTTAATGACAGTTAACATAAAATCCCCTTTGGCACCAATTTTGTAGACTGTGGTTCTATAAAGAAACTCTAAAAGGATCGTCCTTAGTTCTTAAAAGGCAAGGAGGCAGCTAATGTATCACTCTACCATGATTTCCCCAAGCCAATATGGTTGGCTTTTCCTTGTTTAAGCTGAGGTCTTGTCCAATGCCAGAAAGATTTTTTTTTGTATAAGATAAAGTCTCACTCTGTCCCTGGAGGTGGAGTGCAGTGGTGTGATTGTAGCTCACCACAGCCTCAACCTCCCAGGCTCAAGCAATCCTCCCACCTCAGACTCCTGAGTAGCTGGGACCACAGGCATGCACCACTATGCTCTGCTAATTTGTTTTTTGTTTGTTTGGTTTGTTTGTTTGTTTTGTAGAAATGGGGGTCTCTGTATATTGCCCAGGCTGGTCTTGAACTCCTGGGGTCAAGAGATCCTCCTGCCTGGCCTCGAAAACTGCTAGGATTATAGGTGTTAGCCATCATGCCTGGTCTGAACGATTCAATTGTGGCTAAATTTAAAAAGCAAGGTTTTTCTTTAGGCACTTTAAATAACTGTAAGATTTTCTTTTTACTATTTTTCTTATGAATGAATCACATTATTAGGTTTTCTTGTGCATCGAAAAGATGAGTAAGAAATGGTTTGGGTGTGGAGGGGCTGAGGGTGGGCAGTGCTGGAGGGCACTCTGGGTCCTGGTGCCCATGGGGACATGGCCAGAAACATCTCCTCCAGACTCCCCAGTATTCGAGTGTGTCTAGGCCCTGAGTGTCAATGGCTAAGACACTGGTACAGGGCAGTGACGGGGGTTACCAAGGCAGCTGTAAAACACGGAAACCAACGGGCTGCCTCCAGCTGCTGGGGCATGTCTCTTTGGTTCCAGGTCAGGAAGCTCTCGGTAAGTCCCTGCTGAGCAGTTGGTACAAAGGCGGGGTCCCAGACAAGAGAACTGAGTGAAGTCATCTTCCTGCCGCCTCGGGGTGGTTTGACGGGGAGACCAAATGCAGTGGCAGGAAGATTTGCAGCCTGGGGTAGGGAGGCCCCTGGCGGCCTGTGTGCGGGGGTCAGTAGGCTGTGGCCCACAGACCCCATCCAGCCTCCACCTGTTATTGAGAGTAACGTTTTATGCCTCTCTCATTCATTAATGTCTTGTTAATGGCAGCTTTCACACACAATGGCAGAGCTGCCCATAGTTGGAACAGAGACCTGGCTGCCCGCAGAGTCTAAAATAGTTACTATCTGGCCCTTTACAGAAGAAATTTGCCAACCCCTGCTCTATGTAGCCTTTACACAAAGTACTGCATTTGTTTTGTTGGTAAGACCAATTGCCCAGTGCATCAGCGCAGACCTGGTAACTGAGGTTGACTAAGGTGATCTAGCCCATTTCAAAATAAAATCCTTTCCGTGTGGCAAAACCCAGCATCAACTAGAGGCAAATGGTGAAATGAAAAAGAAATTGCATCCCATGTTATATAGGGCTGCTCCTCTCATATGTTTTTGTTTTTGTTTTTGGAGACAGGGTCTTGCTGGAGTACAGTGGTACGATCGTGGCTTATTGCAACCTCAACCTCCTGGGCTCAAGTGATCCTCCCACCTCAGCCTCTCCAGTAGCTGGGACCACAAGCACGTGCCACCATGCCTGGATAAGTTTATATATATGTATATATTTTTATATATGTGTATATATATGTTTATACATATGTTTACATATGTTTTTATATATATATTTAAGTTTATATATATATATATTTTTTTTTTTAGAGACTGGGTTTCACCATGTTACCCAGGTTGGTCTCAAACTCCTGAGCTCAAGTTATCTGCCCGCCTCCACCTCCCAAAGTGCTAGGATTACAGGTGTGAACCACCATACCTGACCTCCTCATATATGTTAAAAGCCCTTGAAAATCAGCAAAAAGAGTGCCAAATCCCATGGAAAAACAAGAAAAAGATACAATAGGCAGCTTACAGGGAAGGAAATACAAATGGCTCTTAAATATATTTTAAAATGCTCAATCTTATTCACAATGAAAGAAGTGTTAAAAAGAAAGCTACAGGAGATGGCACTTCTAGCTGCCAAATCAGAAAAGAGCTGAAAGTTGAATAATAAACCTTTTAGGTCAACCAGAACTTTCAGATTGCTTGTAATACACTAGTGAGGGCATATTTACAGTGTTGAAGATTATAGAGGTACATGCTTTCTGACCCCACAATTCTGCTCCTAGCAATTTATCTTACAGATATGTCTGCATACCTGTGAGACATCGTTACAACATATTCCTTAACCTAGCAATTCCGCCCCTAAGAATTTATTTTACAGATATGCTGGTATATTTGCAAACTGAGTATGTACAAAGTTATGGATTATAACAGCCAGTATCTGTAACTAATCTTGTATGTTGTCAGTAGGAGACTAATTAAGTAAATTTGTCTTGTGTTTTTTTTTTTTTTTTTGAGACAGTCTCACTCTTGTCACCCAGGCTGGGAGTGCAATGGCACAGTCTTGGCTCACTGCCTGCAATCTCCGCCTCCCAGGTTCAAGCAATTCTCCTGCCTCAGCCTCTGAAGTAGTTGGGATTATAGGCGTGTGCCACCACGCCCAGCAAATTTTTGTATTTTCAATAGAGATGGGGTTTCACCATATTGGCTAGACTGGTCTCGAACTCCTGACCTCAAGTGATCTGCCCTCCGGGGCCTTCCAAAGTCCTGGGATTACAGGCATGAATCACTGTGCCTGGCCCGACAAGGGAGTTTTTAGCACTCATTTAAAATTTCTCTTAAAGTTATGAGTAATACCTTGTTCATACCCTTTTAGGTCATGGAATTGATTCTATCAGTGAATCAATTTATAAGGTTCCTCTTACTATGCTCTTCTGAATTTCTTTTCTTTTCTTTTCTTTTTTTTGTTTTTTTTTTGAGACAGTCTCGCTCTCTTGCCCAGGCTGGAGTGCACGGGTGTGATCTCAGCTCACTGCAGGTGCAGCTTCTGCCTCCCAGGCTCAAGTGATTCTCCTGCCTCAGCTTCCTGAGTAGCTCGGACCACAGGCGCCCGCCACCATGCCCGGCTAATTTTTGTGTTTTTAGTAGAGACAGGGTTTCACTATGTTGGCCAGGCTGGTCTTGAACTCCTGACCTCAAATGATCTGCCCGCCTCGGCCTCCCAAAGTGCTGGGATGACAGGCGTGA